TTTGGAGGCAAAGGAGGAGCTCTGAGGATCCAACTTTTGGACAGGTTTGGAGGCAGATGAGGAGCTCTGAGGATCCAGCTTTAGGACAGGCTTGGAGGGGAGGGAGGTGTAGGAGGTGACCGGAGCAGCAGTTGGCTTGGAGCTGCCACTGGGACCAGAGAGTCCAGCACCACCGGAGCCTGAACCTCCCAGCTTCGGCTCACTGCTTGGCTTAGTGTCAGGACAGTCCTGGAATGAAATCAACAGCAAGTTAGCTTTACACGAGGAGGATGGAACTGGTTTCAGTTTGAGGATCAGTTCGACCCAAAGTAAAGTCAAGCTTGTAATAGGCCGTACAGGTTCCTGATCGTTCACATTGAGAGCAGACTAACCTTCTTCTTTTTGTCCGTTTCGCTCCCTGATGAGCCTGAACTCTGCAGGAAACAGGGAGACAGCAGCGTTTAGTCGCCCTTCTCTCACATTAACCCGTGTTAGTACCTTTCTATGAGCAGCTAACCTTTTTCTTGTCTTTCTTCTTCTTGTCCTTTTTATTCTCCTTGTCGCTGCCATTGGAACTATCAGAGGAACTCGCTGAACTGGAGCTCGAGTCCTGTTTCAGGTATAAAAAACCCTCCGTCATCCAGGTTTTGGAACATAAATTGAGTATAAATGTGTTTTTCTTCATCGTGCACTAAACTACCTTCTTTTTGTCCTTCTTCTTTTTCTTCTTCTTGTCTTTCTTCTTCTTTTTCTTCTTCTTGTCATCATCGCTGCTGGAGGAGTCAGAGTCCTGGGGTGTAAATTTATTAAATGTGTTACTGCGCCGTAGCTTTCAGATCAGACAGGAACTAGAACAGACAACGAATCCACATGTTTTTACCTTCTTCTTGTCTTTCTTTTTCTTCTTCTTCTTATCCTTTTTCTTCTTTTTCTTCTTCTTGCCATCATCACTAGAAGAATCGCTGGAGGAGTCAGAAGCAGAAGAAGACGAAGAATCCTGGACAGAAAAATAAACAGTACACCCAACATTAACAGAAAACAGCGAGCAGACACGGGAGTCCTGCTGCCAACAGCCAGGCGTTTCATTTTCACTTCCTACAGGTGTTCAAGCATTTGGACACTGTGATGGAAAACATGTTTTTCTGTTTCACTAAAAACCCAGAATGGAAAAGAAAAAATAACACATTGTCACCTTCTTCTTCTTCTTATCCTTCTTCTTTTTCTTCTTCTTCTAAAGTAGAAATAACACGAGCACATGATGAAGTGTGCAGCTGTTTAAACTTTGGTGCAAACCATTGCTTTACTACGTCCACTGACCTTGTCATCATCACTGTCAGAGGAGGAAGAAGACGAAGACGCAGAGGAGCTGTCGTCAGAAGAGCAGGACTTCTGGAAAGAAAATCAGCCAGTCACAGACTTGTCAGTGAACTCAAGAAAACTGATTTTCACAGTGAACTGGGAGAACGTTAACGCTGAAACACTGACAGAACCAGAAAACTGAACATTTAT